ACAACAAACATCCTAAATTGTTGGCATTTCTTTAAATGCTGAGAATTTGAAATCGGATTGCATACTATAGCACTTCAAACTTGCGTCCAATTTTTTTTCCTACAGTCCACGAGATTGCAACTTGCGTCCGATTATTTTTTTCCTCATTATCATTGCCTACACTTTCTCTCATAATTATCTCTCTAGAAAAAAAAAAGTTCTTTTTTTTATTTTTTCACCAGATATTGGAGATGGGATGTTCTTCCTCAAGCCCTTGAGGTAATTATTTTCATAAGATCTTAAAATCTTGATCTTCTTCTTCTTCTTCTTCTTCTTCTTTTTTTATGGTTTGTTTTGTAGATCTGATGCAAAATTATGAATATTATTGGAATGAGATGTTCTTCCTCAAGCCCCTAAGGTATTTTTTATAAGATCTTAAAATCTTGATTTTTTTTCTTTTTCTTTTTTATTATGGTGTTTAATGTCAAACCCTATGCAATTATTTAGGAAATCTAAAATTCAAATCAATTTTATGTCATGATTTTACGCTTAATAATCGAGTTTTTGAATTCAAATTGGCCCTCAATATCATAAAATTAGCATATGCAGCCAGCAAATCTGTTGCTGGACTCTTATGGTGTCCTTAAAGTTTGAGATTTTGGATTGAGTGCATTCTCGAAGCAAGTCCGGCTAGGTTTTTATTTTTGTAATAAAGTTATCTAACACGACTCGCTTTTTGGCATCAAAAGTTTTTGAAAATTTATCCATGAGGAAGGGCTCGTGCTTCTGGTCAATTTCTCAGTTTTATTTTGATGACATATTGTTGTTCCTATGTGTCCCTTATTGTAGGACTTCTGTTCCAGACTCCATGGTGGATACCAACTGTTTATTCTACTCTGTAGTTGATTTAGTGTTGGGATAGTTTTTAACCCATTTCTGCTTATTATGTTTTAGAATATGTTCATCATTTTATTTTTCTCTTCTTTTAACTACTTTTGCTTTATTGGGGGCATTCGAAAATTAAAGTTGCATTTTCATCATTGTTCTTCAATAGGATGATGGGCTTCTTCACACTGCTTGCGGCACGCCGAACTACGTAGCTCCGGAGGTACCATACATATGGTTCTTTGTATTGTGAAGGCCCAACAAATTTCTTTCTCTATTTTATTGTTAAAGAATTTGAGATGTCGTTTATTTTTTCTGTCAGGTTCTCACGGACAAAGGTTATGATGGTACAACATAAGATGTGTAGTCTTGTGGGGTTATTCATTTTGGTCTAATGGCTGGCTACTTGCCATTTGATGAACCCAACCTCATGGCTTTGTACAGAAGGGTAATCTGGATCCAAATCCTCTTACTGTGTGAGCTTTCAAATATTTCTTTCCTTTTATAAACCATAATCAAATTTAGCAAAACTAAATTTGGACAGTATCTTTTGGAATTCTGGTATATATATATATGTGGATGTTGCAGAGAATTACAATTCCTAAAATTCTGGAAAATGATTGGTTCAAGAAAGATTACAAACCACCTCAGTTTGAGCAGGAAGAGGGTGTTAATCTTGAAGATGTTGATGCTGTCTTCAACGACTCTGACGTAAGCTGTTGAAATTTAACAAATTTGCATTTGTGTACTGACTATACTTAAAACTAAGTCGAATATAACTTTATTTAATAATTTTTTTGGCAGGAACATCTTGTAACAGAAAGAAAAGAGAAACCAGTGTCCATGAATGCCTTTGAGCTTATTTTTAGGTCTCAGGGTTTTAGCCTTGAAAATCTGTTCGACAAACAGATGGTATATAGCCCTTCTTGTGTCCAAGTTAAAATCATCAGACACAATTTTTTTTCTCTCTTATTGTGTTTTAGAGGAAAAAACTTGGATTTAAACTGTGTAGGGTCATGTAAAGAAGGAAACATCCTTGACATCCAAGTGCAGAGTTATGCGGACGTGCAGACGAACAGGACACCGAACTTGGAACGATGTGGGCTGAACCTGGTCAAAATTCAGAGGGCGACTGTTTGCTTTTCCGGCGCCGGGCTGCTTGTTGGAGGATGGTAGCGCGAGCAGATTAGACGACGAATTTACGAGAAAGAACACTTTCACGGATGATGGCAGTGCGGCGTGATTTTATGTCCAATTTCTTCGATGGAATTGTCAGGTAGCTACACGGATGATGGAAGTGCAGCGAGTTTTATGTCCAATTTTCCGTTGGCACCATCGACATGAGTTGACCGGCCGGATCAATTTTAATTGCGAGAAATTACTGTGAATTTCTGGCGTGGAATAAGAAAGAAGTCATGTTCGACAATCTCTTAAGTTGTTTGTAAACTTTCTCGTGAGATTTTCGTGAAGCAATTTTTGTATGTGCTCTGTTTGTCAAGAATTTCAACAATGAAAAAATTAATTTTTTGCCCAAAAAAATATGAGTGTACGAGTCCAAAAAAGTATGCAGTTCCAATGTGAAATGAATGTCAATTTTCTTATCTAATTTTTACTGTAATTTAATGCTTTAGAATTATTTATTTATTGATTTCAATTTTATTGCATTATTTCTTTAATATGCCTAATATTGGTTAAAAAATAATAAAAGAAATAAACTAATTTGGTTGACTACGCAAGGTACTGAAAGATTTGTTTGAATTCCTGCCAAATTTGTAGTCTGATATTGGTCATGAAATGTTAGCATATATATATATATATATATTGGTAAATTTGTATGCAATCTTTTGGAAATATGCAATATATATACTTATCACATTGTTTTATTTTTTTTCTTTTGTTATTTACGTTGTTAATGGTTCTTTTTTTCTTTTGTTATTTACGTTGTTAATGGTTCAAACTTGCACATATTTTGATTTAATTAATCTACTTGTAGTCTTTAGGTCTTCATAATTTATTATTGCTTTCTTTATTAATCAAAGTCAAGTTGTAGACCGTAAATAGAATTTGTGTACAACTTTTCTTAATAAATTTAAATGTGTTTTATACATATTTTTCTTCCAAAATAGTATAAAAATTGAGGTCTTCACACATTTTTCAAGAATAATATAGTATATTTGGGTATTATATGTATGTTATATAATATTTTAGATATTTTAAACATATATATTTTATGTTCTTTTATACCCAGTTAAATTTATGTATCGTTTTCAACAAACTGATTAAATTATATCAATTTAATGACAAATCATTTTGAATTTTTTTCCAAATAATCTTGATTTTATTTGAGTTTGAAATTAAAAAATTCAAAAAATATTTAACCACATTGTTACCCATATTGATTCATTTCCGTATTTATCTAACTACTTAATAAATATTTCAAAATTTTCATATAACTTTTAATAGATAATAATAATAATAATTCCATATATGTTATTTCTCGCGTATGATAAATGGATACAATATCACAATAAATAAGAGTCAATGTCAATCGTTATCACACAATTGGTCGGATTTTAAAGAAACCAATGTTTAGAATCAACTGTATGTTGTTGTTTCCCGCATTACGAATCGTCAGAGTTTGTGGTGAGGATGATTTGCCAAAATCTCAAACCACGAATGTTGTGTATTAGGAAGTGTTATATAATTTATAAAATAATTTATGTCATTTTTTTCCAAACATGTGGACGTATAATCACCACTTAAAATTGCTCCCCGTGCATCGCACGGGATTTGTACTAGTTTGAAAGAATCTCAACATTTTCATCACCCTACTTAAGGGAAGATAACAATAAATGGAGATCTCTAGAGACAAAGCATGTGCACTTAATCTATACTTATATTAAAAGTTATACTATCTACTAAATGTAGTATGTAGAATAGTCAATCCTAATTAATGATTTGCTATTTTTATCAAGCATTTAATTAATGTATCTAATATTTTTGTATGCAAATTAAATTAGCATTTAATTAGTTCCTAAAATATTGAGTATGCAATATTAATTTAGGAATATCCATGTAGTTCCTAAAATGTTGGTATGCAATACGTAAAAGAAGATTTTTTTAATTTTTTAAATATAAAATATTGTAACACGTAAAACTATTCCAGTTATTTTTTATTTTATTTTACATATAAAATCTAATCAATATTTAATGCATCTTACAAAATTGGATTTAGTTTAATTCTTCATACAATTGGTTGTACCTTTTTTAGTTGTGTTTTATTTATTTATTTATTTTACACTTTTAAAATAATAAAACTCTCCAAAAATACCAAATCAAATGATTTATGACATTTTTTTTTTTTTTTTTTTTT